ATCAGGGCTATGCCCTGGGCCCCAGTCCTGCACTGTCATCACCCTGCTATCCTGGCCCTGCATGCCCATCCTGCTCCTGGATGATGCTCCCCCTCCCTGAACATCTGTTTGACTGGGTCCTGTAACAGCTCACCAAAACTCCTTACATGGCTCTCCAGCCCAAAGAATTGCCCACCCCTGTGCTAGAAGTTCATGATCTAGCTCAGGTTGTACCCTAGGTACAGGCACATAGAAAGGTTGCACAATCAGTAAGTTAGGAGTATTTTGAACAAGCATGCTCAAGCACCAACATCCACCAGAACAGCAGCTCCCTTCTGCTCTCTTGGCAATCAAATGAATTCTTGCTACTGACTTCCACAGCAGATCAGCCCATGGTCAAGCTGAGTTTGAAAACACTAAAGCACCTACGTAATGCTGAACATATGAATAATTCTAAAGACTTTTCACGGCCTACTGGCAGTGCTAAAATTGTGTGCGCACTTTTGCAGAGTCAGATGCGTTGTTTTTCTGAAATCTGAGAGATGCGAGGCAGAAGGTGTTCTGATATCTTTACCAAACTATGGACTGCAGCATCTTCTAGGATGAATTCGTTTTCCAATCATGCAACTAATGTTGCATTGGGGGTGTGCATGTATATCCCCCTTTCCTGCTGCTGGAGCCTTGAGGGACTTTAAAGAAGTCCCCAAAGCAGGTAAGAATCTCTTCTCCCCTCCTTTCCCTAACCCATCCTCTAGCAGACACGCTCAGAGGCATATCCATTTTCCTTTCCTAACCCCTGTCCCCTGCTGCTCTGGCTCCTTTTCCCACTGTCCCAGGGATGGGGCAATCTTCAGAGCTCCTCCTGCCTGTTTCAGCTGGGCTGTGCAGGGGTTGGGCCCCGCTAGAGCCACAGTCTCTGCACTGCCATTTTCAAAGTGGCACTGGCACATTGAGCCCAGGGACAATGCTTTGCCCTTCATCTCAATGACCATCTTGGCTCAGCATTGCTGTGTGTTCAACTACAAGCAGTTCCAGAGATGGGTAAAAAAAAACAACCCCAAATGATTACCACACAATATTTGGTGAAGATTTCTAGAACCGGCTGTGGGTATAGCGTGGCTGCTTATCTCACAGGTCAATGCAACAAAAATGCTAGCTGAGAGTTCAACTTTTGACCAAGAGGGCTGGGTTGATCTTTAGTGGAGTACCATGAAACGCAGCCATCCTGCTCCTGTTACCTGAGCTAGCTCATTAATTCAGAGCTGGCTGAGAGCTTTGCAGAGCACAGCATTGTTCAATGTAGAAATGCTCTCAGGAGTGATATCTACCTAATTAGTGCTAAGGTATCCTGAACTGTGTCATCCAAATCAGTAGTGCTCCACAACTGGCCCTCTAAGCCATGTCATCCAGCCTCTGGGGCTGCCCATGGGTCTAGAAATGTGGTGGTGGTGGGGAAACAGCAGCAGCATTATCTGGTCCCAAAACCATTGCAATGAATATTGCCACGGCTCCCTGGCCACCAAATTTCTGGACTAATGGGGAAACACACAGTCCGGATGGCATGGCCCTGCATGCCAGATTTCACCAGTTCGTCATCACGCTGTGGCCAGATCTGACCCGCAGACTGACCCCATGGAGGGTGTCCGGCCAGCACACCAATCTGGTGCCAGCCCTCCAGCCCATGGGGCAGGAGAGGTTGAGCAACACTGATTTACAGCACTTTCCATCCATCTCTTTTCTTTTACTGATGGAGGAAAACGAGAGATACAACTGCTGCACTATCTTCTCATAACCCACAACTGCTACAGCCAACAAGCCCGGGACTCCTAAATTAATTTCAGTACCAGCTCCCAATCGCACTGCGGTAACTAATTGACACTACAGCTGCCTCTTTTCTTGCATTTGTCTGAATAACATGCTTATAGCGTGGGTGTGAGCCACATCCCATCTGTGGAAGATGACAAAAATTCTCACCTTTTCCACGTGCTGGTTTGGACAGCGATTTCTAGCAAAACCATCTTGGCTTGTATATCACCTTCTGCTCGACACCTCAGACTCGCACATTTTTGAATTACCACAATGCTGTGAAAGCCAACATGCATGTACATACGCATTCGGAGGGATGATATTGGTAGCATGGATGTTGAACTAGCCACAGCAGTGGATTTTTCATCAGTCTGTTCCTATAGATAATGAGGGGGATGACCCATCTCCTCAGCAATAAGGAAGAGGAAGATGGGAGGGACACAGGAACTTGAATTAGAAATACATACCAACTGGGAGAGGGGGGAAGGAAAAAAAAAAAAAATCAGGAAGCTCAGCTGGCTGTAAAATGGCCCCTTTCAGATTGTAGCGGCTTAGTTCTGCTAAACTGAAGAGGTCACAAAAGCCACATCACTACAACCCCAACCTCAAACTTTTCCCCAATCTCTTTGCAATGCCATCCACGTTTAACATAGCAGTACTTTGGAAACATGACTGTACAACAATAATTAACACAAACAGGCAAACAAACCTAGCATCTTTCAGAATGCTATTTAAGGCCCAAAGCCAATTAGTCAAAGACATTTCAGAATACAGAATGAATTATCAAATGCAAACTCACAGCTCTTCACCCCTGAGGAAAAAAAAAACCCCAACAACCCTCAACTTCACTCTTGTGCATCTGCCTGCTAGGTTCATCCAAATATTTGCGTTTTAGCTTCCATGAGTTTTGCTGCTTAATAGTTGCTCTTCACTACACAGAGACAGTTATTAATTCTTCCATCGTGAAAACAGGCACATCCCAATAACGCGGAGGAACAAAAATGCTTTTCCCAGTAGATACAGCTATGCAAGGCTCACTCATAGACAAAGGAAGAATTTGACTCCAAAGGTTATCAATCAATAATAAAATTACTGTGAAATTGGAGCCACTGGGCTCCAGGAATTAAACTGGAGATAGGCACATACTTCACAATTCAGGGAAATCCCACTATCTTTGTGTGTCCCTCTTTTTTTTACACACACTCACTCATGGACCCTCAGCTTCACCTGATTTCTCTTTTCAAGACCTCTGCTTTATAAATGCAATCTTTTCTCACTTTATTCAAAGGGGAGTCAAACAATGTGGAACCTACCCTTTGAAGATTCAACATGGGACGACTCAGAAACTGGAATTTTAATTCATTTCACAACATACCCACCCACCTCTTCATAGTACTGAAGTTTTAATGGCCTTCAGATCTGGCTGGAAATCAGCCAGGTTAAAAAAAACCCAACAAAAACACAACTTAATTGGTTCTTGTTACCATGACCCTTTTAAATCTTTTCAAGGAACTGATCTTTAAACAAAAGGAAAGCAAGTCTTTCATGGGACAGCAGTGTGTCCACAAATGAATGTGTATTTGAATTAAAAGTTCAGAGTTTCAGCTAGTTGGGGAATTTTGCCTCTCATAGAGCTCATAAGAAAGGCTGCAGTCTAGGGCTTTGCGAATAATACATTTTTCAGGTCAACAGCAGACCTAGAAAAAATAATCAGAAAAAAAAATAGTGCTCTGTGCCAACCTGAAAGCAAGACGTTTTGGAAGTTTTGGCCAATGAAAAAAGGCATGTTGTGTTTCAAAGCAAAACAAACCAAGTTGTAGGTTAATCTGGGGTTGTGTCTCTACCCTGAAACTCATTCCAGTTTGTATAACTGATGAGGCATTGGGCCCTAGACAAGAAAATTATTGTATAGCCTTGAGATTACAGTGCTCGCCTGGAGAAAGGAGACTTCAGTTCAACTTCCCATTATGAATCAGACAGAAAGGGGATATAAACCCGGTCACCCATATCCCAGACTGGGAATTTAGAAGAGTGGCTGCCACCATCCCTTTGTCCTTGATGCTTTTGGGAATGATACTTCGAGTCCCCTTGTGAACTCGGTTTGCAAATCCAACTCACATTTGTGCAGCAAGTTTCAGATGGATAGAACTGGCTGAAAATAATTCACCCACTCCTGATGCTAACCTGCTACCGAGTGTCCTCGTCACAAAAAACTTCACTGAAAGGCCCCTGACTCGCCCGTCTGGTTATTAAAAGAGAGCTCAGAGAAGAAAAAAGAAGTTAAACAAAAAGCTGAATGGAAAAAGATTACGGACTTTGTTGCAAGAAGAGTGTACATTTTGCTTTCTCCGAGTTAGGTGTCATCTGCCAATCAACGTAGTAAGTGTTGATTGCATGATGGGCTGCAATTACTGAACACAAGTGGGAGAGACACTGCACCATTTTATTTATTGACTTCATGTCAGGCTAAACCTCATCCTCGTGCCCGGCCCCATCCAAGCAACTCTGATTGACATATGTTTGCACTGAACATGTGGGAAATACTGTACCCAGTGAGAAATACTATTTGCTTCTGCAGTTTTGTGCTGTGGTCTCTGTATGTTGGCAGAGAATAAACGGGGCCAGCTCCTGCCATTTTGGTACTAGGAGCAAGAGAGCCCAAGGGGTCCTCAAAGGTAAGGAATGAGAAGGAACTGGATGATCATTGCTCGAGTGAGAAAGGCACTAATTTGATAAGCACTGCTTGGGAAGCCACTAGCATGCAGAGTACTGATGTGGAAGACATGGGCCTCTGTGTTTTGTGCAATAGATCTTCTTATGATAGGACTCCGGCCGGGTCCTTTAAGGAGGGGTGCACCCAGCCCGAGGACCACCCCAGAGATCGCTGCCCTGGGACAGGCCACATGGGCTATGTGTGTGCTAGTCACTGAAATGGATATCAATTAGTTGCCTCGTTGTGGCAAGGGATGTAGACCAATAAGTTTTCCTGAGATAGCAACACCTAGTGCCATCCAAAGGCAGATTCACTGCACCTCCTTCGAAGGGCAAAGCACGTGAAGTGGGTTGCACCTGCTTCGCTGTGGGGTGCTCCTCAGGCAGGGCAGAAGTGTCCCAAGATCCCACCATGCTGCCGGCTTAGGCGTACGAGCTACAGCCTGGCATCCATTCACACTAGCAGCCACAGAGCAAGCGACCGAGCCCGAAATGTTTCTTACCTCCAGAATGAGGCGGCGTCCCACAAAGCAGCACCACTCCCTGCCCTTCTCGAACGGACACCGTGCTCCTCATTTTAGTTTTTAAGTTGTCAAGATCTGTTTCGGAAAGAAGGGGAGAGCTGGAGATCAGAGACCAGACAGCAGCAGAGGAACAAACAGAGGACACTGTTTTGCCACCCTTGCTAACAATGAGCAGTAATGACTACATCAGTGATTAGCACCTAGGGGCCGCACAAAGTCAGCACCATTAGGTGGGCAGATACCTATACATGATTCATCTGATAAACCCAGAGATTTCAATGAAGAGTCCAAAGTGTCAAAACATTTTGACCTGTTGTGGTCTTCCCAACACAAGAAATGTTCTGTTGTTTTTTCCATCGTCAAAATAAAATAAAATAAAAATCAAGGAAGCTGAGACAACATGTTTTGAGAGGGGCTCCAAACTCAGTTGGGCTTGAAGCCATAGTATATAGGCAACCTCTATACTATGCCATCATCTCCACTGATTTCAGTAGAGAGCTGAGAGAGGAGACGTACGCTCAGCAGAAGTCAGAGTGAATGACAGATCAGGACCAAAGCAGCAAGCATTTTATAAGGACACGAGATACCGGGTGTGATTTTTATCTGACCTGTGCAGGTTTTACTCCACCCCAACTCTTCAATTAAAATGAACTTACCGATGGATTGCTAGGAAGCAGATAGATTTAAACAGTTTTAAATTTTAAGATGCTATAAAAGAGGTGCAAGGCTTTTGGTCAGGAATGAGCATCAGCTGTTCCAGTGTAACAGTTATGTCTGTCCACTTATATAGTGAGCTAAACCACTATGACTTTGATCCATTTTTGTTCTACTTATACTAATATAGGACTGGGCAGAGGTAATAGGTATACTGGTCTCTTATGTCTGTCCACACCCTTTGTTAGAATGGAGTCTTCTAGTTGTCACCTTTTGGTCACCACGTTTTTATGTGAAGCAATGAATTTGATTATGAGGATTAGCATTAAGGATCGGAGCCAAACAATCCCTCATCACCAGCAGATTCAAAATTGTTCAGACGTTGGGGAGTTTTGTAAGTGGAAAAATAACTTCTTGAAGTAGCCATCATTATTCAGGCAAGCTTAGTTATGCCTTAGTAAAGGAGACTGGACTTTTTCTACCCTCTTTTACCAAGGTTAGTCAACTGTATCTGCATACAATGCTACCACCTGCCTGTGTAAATGCAGAATTCTTGGTCAGTAATATTTTATATTAACTTTGCATAGCTGTACAGGATGACAAGCGTCGGTGGAGAGTCTGGCCTCATTATCTCATTGTATGATGCCAGAAACAGTCAAGCACAAAGCGAACAATTTGGGACTTCGTTCTCAGAGAACAGTTCCCCTCACCCCGGAAACCCTGAATCACGCTGGAGCAGAGCTGTCAGACATAAGCCTGCAGAAACGTCAAGACTGGGTTTTTGAAACCTGAGCTCGCAATGTGTGGCAGCTTTCCTCTAGCAGACTCGGGGTCTGCTCTCGAGATACCCATGTGTGTGTTATTTACAGTAATGAAGAACTGAAGTGCGCTGCTGCAAATTAACAGGCCAAACAGACGACAACTCAGAGAGCCACAAGTGGAATAGGCAAAAATAAAAAACGGTTCTTGTTTACAACTTTGGGTCTAGGCATAAATGTTACCATTCGCAGATGCTCAGTGACACCCCCAGAGGGCCTTTTAAAGCAAGATGTCTTTACAGCTCAGCACAATACAAATAACAGGTCGACCAACAATGGCTGCTTTCCAAAGTATAACTTCTTTATAACTTTAAAAAGCAACAGATGTTCACCCAACCAGTCTATTCAACAACGGCAATTAAGCATCTCAGTGGCACAGTTTTAACAGGACAAACCGTTTGCTAGATGCAACAATTATAATGTGTTGCTCCATTACTCATACCATTATTCTTTGAGAGAGGTTTCTTTTTTTAAAGTTAAAAAAAGAAAAAAAAAAACCTTGAAAAAGGGAAAACATCTGTGAGCTCTTAATAGTCTATTAATACATGCACCTGTCCATCTCTCACTCGATACTGGTACATCGTTATGTTTGCTGTATTCTCACTTGGGTAGTCAGTCAGCGGTTTCTCAGTCAGAGCCCTTCCAGCCTTACTGCCCATGCAGTGACCTCCTTGAACACATGGGCTTGGTGGCACGTGCAAATATGTAGGATTAAACTGCATGAAGGACTCATAGATTCTACTCTAAATTTACCACCTGATATGTAGACAAGCCAGTGAGACCTCAAATTTTCAGGGACATCCAGCAATTTTGAGGTCTCCAGCGGGACACCCATAAGAGGTGCAGATCAGGCACCGCTCCAAGTGACTACAGCAGGAGGTCAGAAGAACCTGGCGCCTACTCCATTGCGATTCTGTCCAGTTCCTCACAACCAATTTGACAGCATGATTCATTAGCCACCGTTAAGGTATTTGGACCCGACTCCTTCCAAAAAGAGGGGACACTACGGCGTGAGGGTTAGTAATACTCTGAGTGTCAACTATCACTGTCTCTGCTACCTCTGGAAAGGCACACAGAGCCATGCTTCCCTGTGTAGGTAAGGAGCATGCTGCGTTGGCCTCACTCCTACATTATGACCTTTTCCCTGCCCTATTTTACTCTCCTCATCATTCACCCACACTTTGCAGTAGAATAGGCTCTAAATTATTGCTCCAGAAGTTAATATAATTAGGAGAAATAAATACCTATAAAAGCAGAGGAACTATTTAACATACGAGTTGTATTTAGGACTCAGCTTTGCTCTTTCGTATCAGGGCAACCCCATTATTAACTCAAAAGTAATTATATATATTGCAGTACTAAAAGAGTCAATCTTAATTATACATAGATATTTACTCATTAACTATTGCTTCTGAAACTAAATGGTTGTATCCTGTGCTACCTTCCACTCTGTCAAAGGGAAATTGTACAACACCACACATAATAAAATTAGACCTATTAAACCAACAATATATACAACCATCCAAAAAAAAGGACACGTCTTGATTATTCTGTAGGAGTCCAACTACCTTATATCACAATTCTTCAGCTCAATCTTCTGCAATTTTGCATTACAGAAGCTATTTATTATGGATTGCAAAAACAGACAAGGGAGTAGTTAAAAAACATCCAGAAAAAGAAAAATCTGAGCCACATTGAGAACTTCCTGGTAATTACTGAAAAATGGCTTTTCTATGGCAATCTCAGACTTACAGAGCATTTTATAGACTGGATTAATCATCCAGCTGAAAAAGGACATCATTATAAATCTTTAGGTTTTTCTCTCGTACTTTTTGTCCGATACCACTTTGCAAACAGCGCTAATTAAAAACAATCACATATCATTGTTCTGTGGAGAGGAGGAGAGATTTGTTTAGAAACAGCATGCTGGGCAGCGATATCAGTGCATGTTACTCTAATTTCTAACAAAAGGGGGGTATTAAGTGAATGTATTAAAATAATAATTAAAATGGAATTCATTATTTTGTCCCTCTCCCCAACGTAAGATGTTACGTTTTTGGGGGGAGGAAAAGGGCTTTTGCACTCACAGAAGACAGAGCAAAAGAGAAAGTTGGTCTTATCTTGTAAGGGCAGCATTCTGGAAATTTTTTAAAAGCCTAATGTGCTTTGTATCTGTTCCAGTTGCTTTCCTGGAAACATAATTTACTTTCTTGGAAAGAGGATATTGATGGCAGAAAAGAAATATTGCCCATTTTGGACATACAAGTGATTGCATATGCACGGTCATTAATGGCATTCGTATAATACAGATGCTGTTTGTATGTCTGGGGACACCTAAGGACAATGGGACTTTACTATTGATTAGGGATATTAATCTTACATTGAATAGGAGTAAGTATTTTATAGAAGGGTGGGGAGGCATCTCTTAATAGGGAGAAATAAAAAAGTTCTCAAACAAACGCAACAATCTTCACGGCGATGCCAACGTGAGGTTTTGTCGATATCTGTAGAGTTACTTTGGAGTTAACGTCACTATACACAGGAACCGTTATCGCAGTGTGCAGTCTCAGCAAGGAGCTCTGCAAAGGAGCAATGACTTCTTCCCACCTGGTATTGCATTGTGTACTGGCAAAACTTAAATAATCCACAAACCAGGTAGTCTGCCACCGCTTTGGCGTTCACCTTTTACTTTACTCTCCAGACCAAGGGTCAATACTCATCCAAGTGCAATTAATTCCTTGCGGGACTAGTTCAGGGAAGGTGGGAAACTTCTGGCACAGAGGAGATCAGAGTCATGAGAGAGGAGAAACACAATGATGAGCAGTGGGTGAAAACCGCTCTCAGAGCTGGTCAGTCTTACTCCCTCTCCTTGTGCATGGAAGCACAGCAGTGCTGCCAGCTTACGGGGATTTCTAGAGCCTCACAAAGAAAAGCAGCCTTGGGCCTTTTGGTTGCAGCCTCCTCTAAGCAGCTCAGAAGGAAAGACGGCTACTTCATATCCCTACAGCTAGAAAAGCATGTTAAAGAAACATGAAGGTTGCAGAGTCAAGCAATCAAACTGTAAGAAGTGCCTGAATCAATCAAGGCTGTGCATGCAACTTTAATTGAGCTTCCCTTATTTCCTTGTCCCTTCCAGCCCCTCTCTGCCACTTTTCATTGCTCTTCACAGCTTCTTATTACTCCAGTTCCCTCTACGAGACCTCTGATAAATTCCTGACTCCCTGCCTCCACTGTTCTGCATCCCTCTTTGAGGCTTGGTCACAGGCTTACCTAGCCTGTCCCAGTCTCCCACCCACAAACTACTCCTTCTGCTGCCCCCTGCCCTGATCCAGCTTTCTGGTTGGGATCCAAGTCTCTTTCTCCTCCATACTGCCCATGTGCCAGCAGGGGAAGCAGAGAACATATGTGCATCGCCAGCAGAATTTCTCCCAGAGGTTGGATTTATATACGTCTCCTGGAAAGAAATACTGATGTAAAGACTTCAAGTGATAATGAGCCAGCCACTTAACCCAGGTAGCTCTTCCAGTGTTTAATTACCTATGTTACTAGCAAATTGCATCTAATTTCAAGGTTGAGTTTGTCTGACTTCAGCTCCCAGCCACT